AGCGAGCTCTGCCCGCGGGGCGGCGGGGTCCGCGCCGCCCCGCCGCCGGTACCATGAGCTTCTTCGGGTTCGGGCAGAGCGCGGAGCTGGAGCTGGTGCTGAGCGACGGCGAGAGCCGGCGGCGGGGGGAGCACAAGACGGAGGAAGGGAAGAAGGAGAAATATTTCCTCTTCTACGACGGGGAGACCGTCTCCGGGCGGGTGGTCCTCACCCTCAAGCACCCCAACAAGCGGCTGGAGCACCAGGGGATCAAAGTGGAGTTCATCGGGCAGATCGGTGAGCGGGGCGCGGGGGGCAGGCCTGCTGCGGGGCCGCCGTCTCCCCAGTCGGTCGCGTTGCGGCGGAGGTTGGGCTCGCTCCCGAGCAGCGCCTTGCCGCACGGAGAGTTGCCACCGCCGCCTGAAAGCGTTCGCCCGCCCTTCGAGCTGGGCGAGCCGGCCTGCTCTCTGGGCTCCAGCCCCGGTGGAAGGGAGGGGGCTCCGGTCCCTTCCCGGGTCATTGTTCTCCCGTCCTTACGTCTCGCTCCTGCTCGGTCACCGATTTCAGCTCTAAAACGCACACGCCAGGAGGTAGGGGAAAATTCGTTTTCCGTCCTGCAGATGCAGGTCTGAGCCCGGACGCCCTAGCAACGCCAGCCGTCGGGCGGTATTCTGCAGGCTGCCTTTATTCGCAGCCCTGCGAGCTGTCTGTTTGCATTTCTTGTGTGCCTGTTGATTCGGTCAGGGAAGCGGCGGCTCTGCCGGGGGTGGTGAATCGGGTGGGCTTTGCCCGTACGTTTCAAATCACCAACGGCACCTTCCCAGTCCCCACCACACAACGTGTTTTACCCGGGTAGATCAGCTTTCTGGAGGCCTACGTGCTCAGCTCAGCTGATTCCGTCCTTTACCCTCTTATTCTTGGAGCGGGTGACCACGCATCCCTGCACGGTTAGTTGGGTGGCTTCAAGTTGCTCAGAACTCACGGTTATCTGTGCGTGTAACCAATTTAGATTTAATATTTCCTGCTTTCCTAGAGGAAAGGTAACTGCCACCCTTCGATCTGAGTGGAGATGTCCATGTTTCATGGACATGCCCGAGACCCACAAGCCAAAATAAGTTCAAGATGTTCCCCGTGCTGCGACTGTGCTCGGCGCGTGCAATGCCTCACGTCTGTGGCTCTCCCTACTCGGGTTTAACCCTCAAAATCACTGCGCGAGCCGTGGGCCTGCAACCTTTGCATTGCAAATCATGCGGCGCAGGAAAGCGAACTAGAGGTTTTCCCACCCAACCCCGATACTGCTGTTTAATATTTTTGCTGGCCTCGCTTGTGCGTAACACTGCCTTGGGAAAGAAAGGGGAGGACAGGCAGAGGGAGCTTGTAAATGATGGAGTGTAAGCGCGCCCGTTCATCAGGAGCTAGCTTATGATCTCCTGCTATTTGATTATGATCGTCAGTGGAAATTAAGCATGAACTTTGTTTCCTGCTCCACTCTGTCTCCTCTCTGCTGCCTCGCCTGCTTCTGATTCCCCATTTTGGAAGACTTTTGAGCCATACTTACTTAGAGTAACTGCTTTGAATTCACGTTATTGCCCAAGCAGGGTGTGTAAGCAGCTGCTGTGGCTGCACATGAGTCTTTTCTCTTTGCCCGTCATGCCGCTTTAATAAAGCGCTGAAGTTTGCAGTGCTGATGGCAATTCCTTAATGCTTTCCATCTCAAAACAGCTCGCCTTATATTCTGACTTCCCGCTGCCATGGGATCAGTAGCTATATGAGACAATTTAACAGGTAGGGAGACTGAGACGTAAAGGAGTGATGTGTCACAGGGAAGATGGCTGTTCCAGACGGGGTACCAGAATCCGGACTGCGAACACTGTGTCCTGCGCGGTCTCCGGTGAACACAGAAGCCATTTAAGATTTCGTTTCGCCTGTGGTTACTGTGTCCTGAGCAGGCCACCAAAACGTTGGCAGGTTATTTTTTTAATCTGGAAAGCTTAGAGCTCTGAAAACCTGAAATTACAGCTTATGCCTGTTTGACATGCTAATGTCTTCTGAAGTGTGGGAAACATCAATCCTTCTTCTCCTTAAGGCTGCCAGGTGCCAATCTGTGCCCTTCTGAGGTAGCAGAGAACTTAGTACACTGACATTTGCCTCCCCTTGCTTTAAATTCGATCGTTGCCTTCTGCTTCGTGTGGGAAGATGATATATTTCTCTTTTTATATGGCACGTGGCTTCTTCCTCTCACATCAACAAGCACTTTCCTCTCAATGGACATGTCTTCAATGCAGAGAGAGTTGGTTTATTTATGTCACCTGCCTGCCCAGCCTAAAGGGCCTGATGGCACTCGCTGTTCTGCGTAAGTGAGGGGTGTTCTAGTGCCAATATTTCCATTATAGAGATAAGGTGAGCAAAGGGGTGTAAGAAACAGGCATTACTTAAAAGCTGAAGCCTCATCCTGCACCTCAAGGAGCAGAGAACTGAGTCTCGCTGCAGCTCCTGAACTCTACTAATACCTCTCAGAAGCCTCCTCTGCACAGTTTAGTGCTGACAGCGAACTTGTGTGTATATGATTGTCTGATGAGTTAGGTTTTTGTTTCCTCGTCTAAACCTATCAGATTGGCTAAGGCTTTACCTTTTTGAAGGACTGTGTGGGAGTCTTGTAGTCACACAGCTCAGCGCAGGGTTGGGCAGGGCAGATTTCATTGATGGTTATGTGTAATAGAGAGCTGTTAATGCAAATTGCAGAGTTTTAAGTTTCTGTTGCTTTGACTTAAGGGAGAAAACTTTGTGGAAGTGCAGAAAGGATTGCTTTCGTTAAATGAGGAAACCTGTAGTTGTTTCCTGCGTACAAGAAGGCT